CAGGTCGGCAGTCGGGCGCAGAGTGTCAATGTTTTGTTCCATTGAACACTTCACCGGAACAATATTTTAACTATTTAACCGAGTGCTAAACTATACGGACGAAATACGTATTCCATTTATTACCTTTTTTATGTAAAATGAGGCAAACGGGGAGGAGGCTCACATGATGTTAAGTGGTACCGCCGTCCATGGACACACACATTTCTAGAAGGATCGCAAGTGTGTTGCCGGCCTTTCATGAATTGGTTTGCTCCTTTCTTGAAGGACCCTAAGTCAAATTGGTTTAAAAATACTTCGGCAGGTTCCACATAGTGGTGGTGCGCAGCTAAAACTGCCTATATCTTCTCTTCTATACGTCATAAGTTTATTTGGACTGGAGTTGTTATTAATTTATTTAGGTAGCTAATTGTACCAGGTAGTCTGTGTGATGTATGTGTGTGTAGAGAGATATAGACCGGGAGAAAGCGACACAAAATATTGGGTCATTTGTACCAGTATGGCGTTCTTCAGGGGTCTTATTACGCAATGAAAAAAACTAAAATGAAGGTCATAGCGCTGGTATCGGCAGCCCCATCGCGACTAGTCGAACTCGTCGGATTAATTACGAGTGTCAAACGATTTGTTCAACAAAAATTCTAGTACTTTCCGATAGTCCATAAAACTAAGAGGCGGTAGTGCCATTCCATACTTCTCCGGTGTGACTTACAGCCCGCCATACCGACGCGAATGCGTCAATTAAAAACAAACAACCATTTGTACCAGGCTCAATTTTGCACAGTTATCGCGGCATCGTTTTGTCTTTCTTTACGTTCCCTATAATGTATGGAAGAATGAGATGCTATTTGTGAGATACTGTTAAGGGCCATCCTATTGATAAGTTGAAAGAGATTTCAAATGGTTCTGCATTGTTGGGAGTTGGAACGTTACAATATATCGTGTATTTGTGGATTTTATTGAAGTGTTTTTCCTGAAATCATCTCGTCATGGTAAACGTACGATCATAACCCCTTATATTGTTTTAACTAAACTGACTGTATCTTTCTATTAAATTGAGTTAACGCGGTTATGAAAAGGGAGAATTGAGAAATTTCGTAAATTTATGCCATTGGACTTCATGTCAAAAGTCAAAAATCATTTCAAACGTCAAAAAAATAAAATGAAATGACTCTAACTTTACATTTAGTGCCTTTTTAAATAATATTAATTTTAAGGAAAAATAATATTTTTTAAGGAAATACAGAATATACCGTTTGGATATTTTTTAACATTTATTTGTCAAACAATTCGACGCAGCTGATAAATTGTGGTTTTATGGTTTTACATTACCAGGCATCTAACAAAATTCACCCACGTTTATTTAAAAATATACCCGTACTACATTTTTTTAATTTATTCTATTTGCAATAATTTTATGCCCATACAAGACCAATTCAAATTAGTGAGATTCGAAGTCGCTTGTTTATTTAAAAGGGGTTTATATTAAATAAAAATAATTTCGAAACTGCAATAAAAATTGTTTAGTGCCATCCCTGGGTGAGGATAAAACTCGTAAATGACACCATACATCCGCCGCGTCTTTTGACCTTTTTCGCTTTACTTTGCTGTAAATACCAGAATATGGTTATGTTTTATACTTTTTAGTTCGAGTCTACGATAAACTGTGAAGTTTAATTTATAAAATTTCATGTATCTAATTACGGCATATTGTATCACAAATTCTTTCTGTGTTGTCATACATGGAATTGATTCCATGAAACGGTTTAATTCTACCACGACATCATTTGTATGGTGCGTGTTTTTTAAGTGAGAATAGGCCTAATATTCTAACATAGCTGAAATGAGCACGGCCCTTTCCGCTGCCGCGGAATACGTTTGAATACAAAATTAGCATTAATTAACTAATGTTACGTTATATATGTAAACATCGCAAATAATCTGGTACACATACAATGATTTGACCGTAGGCCACCTATTGTCCCATACAATCAAATATCTCAACAATAGACATAATCATTTTGAAATCAAACATAATTTCATGATACGAATTTATATTAGCCCTTAAGTTGATAATGCTCATTACTTATCTCATGGAATATAATTGTAAAGCTGTAAGTACGGTTCAATAGAATATAATTAGAATATATTACCTATACTTCAAGAAAAATATTTTAAATACTTTGATGTCTGCTTTTTTTATAGAACAGAGGGCAAACGGGCAGGAGGCTCACCTGATATTAAGCGATACCGCCGCCGATGGACACTCTCAATGCCAGAGGGCACGCGAGTGCGTTGCCGGCCTTTTAAGAATTGGTACGCTTATTTTTTTATTTTAAAATGCGTTTAAAATCGTAAACCTCTTTAGACAGGATTCGTTAAAGGGTAGAAAATCTTACTGAAAGTTGATATTAGCTTTGAATTATCTATTTTTTATATATAACTAGCAGACCGGCCAAGCGTTGCTGTGGCTAAGGTTTTAGTTATATTACATAGTAGTAACCTATTCAAGGGAAACGGTAGGAGAACACCAGTCATGGGGACCACCATGCTTTTTTGGTGGTAATGCCATTAAATTGTAGCTCATTTGAAACGTTGATACTTTCAACACAGAGCCATCTGTTAGAATTGTGACTATCAAATAATATACAAATATTTTGCAATAAAATAATATTGAGGGTATAAATTGAGATGTAAGCTATCATATCTTTTAAATTAGATCAAACTGCACACGGTGTGAAAATTTAAATTTAAAAAATTTAAAAAACAAACTACCTACTATAAAATCTCAATTCTTTTGTTAGTGAAAGCATCTGCGTCATTATAGGATATAATAAAAAATCGGCAATTGCGGTTTTAGTTTTTTATACATAGTGTAATTCAGAAGTTTTTGGTTTGTTATAATGATTACCTCAATTGTTTAATTTGTATACTGAGAGAAACACAAGGATCGTTTCCACCTACTTAACACAAAGTCACCGTGACCACGCACGCTGTTTACAGCGTGCGTGGTCACTTTGCACGCGACTTTGCACGGTGACTTGGCACGCGAAAAGTCGGATAAATTTAAAATTATGTTAAATAGTAAATTTATAATAATACATAACTTTAATTCGCTTAAAAAGATTTTTCTTCACAAGGATCGTTGTGTGCCGACAGGGAATTATATCTAATTGTAGCCAAACAATGCGCAGAGGCAATGAGAACTTGGAGAAACTGATCGTGGTTGGCAGAACAGAAAGCTAACGTAGCTGTTCACCAACCAGAGACCGATCAAGTGAAAGACTCATCGTCCTCAAAACTTTACACTGTCATAAGAGAGGAGCTGGACAGAGACTGGTGGAAGCAGATTGTCCGTTCCAGATTTTTCGTTGCTGACCACGACGCTGAGACATGAGCTGCCGAGTGAAGAGAGAGAGAAAGAGACTGAGAGAGTAAACAAAAAATTTATTTTTATATATATTTATTTAATTAATAATACCAAAACTATATATGTATATTAAAATAAAGTTTATTTGCGACACTTTGATATCAAATATAAAAAGTTTACACATTCCTAACAACTAAACTAACTAAAAATAATGCAAAAATATATATCCATTGTAATGTTATCGTTACTCACCATATATTAGCGTAATATAAGCTTAATACTTACTTACATATTTTCACACGTTTTAGTATTTGCATTTTCACATAAAAAATACTTTTAAAAGCTATAAACGGATATAATATGAAGGAAAGGGCAGTTTACATTTACGACTTAATATCACAAATGATTGAGAGAATGCTGTCGCAGAATGGACATATTATATAATACTGTGCAGGTATAATTATCACTAAAAGCTTTATAAATGTAAATGATACTAGCTTAAGCTTTACCCACAATTATGTAGCGTAGGTCCACCGCGAACGTTCTATTTAAGGCACTATTTGAGTGCTAAGGATGTGTATCAATGATGTGCATATGATCGTAAAATTTCGTTTTTATTATATACTCTTATATATATATTGAGCGTATATTACGACGTCTAAAATGACGCAATACTACATACATTTGAGGGTATAAAATATATATGTATAAATAAAAAACGAAATTCATTATTAAGTAGTTCGGCACGTTACACACTAATGAACAAAAACAGGTATCAATACGCAATATAGTAGGATTGTGTCAGGTAATGTAATTGTAAACAAAATTGTGTCTTTGCCCGCTGATCGAGTTTCGTAATGTACGTAGTGCTATCAACTGGTACCTGTCATTACAGGCTTTGGTGATAATATTCACAGCTTTCTGTGCCTGACAATGTTTGCCTTCATCGTACAAGCAAGTGTTAATTGAAATAAACATCCAGAGATGCACAGCTGTGATTCGAATGTACGACCTCAGCGATGTGTCGCACGCTTAAGCAACATGCCCTTGTATACAACTAGTTGACATAAAAATATACAAGATTAAGGAAATTGTATCAGTGTACAAACCAATTTTTAAAAAGGAAAATTCATCTAATCCCGTCCCCATTACAAATTACACGTTTTTAATAAACTAGAAACAAATATCTGCAACATCTAGATATTTATTGCTGGACAATTTATTAGAAAATGTTCCGCTTGTCTTTACAAGATATAAATAAACGATATTGGACATTCTTTTCCTTTGTGGTCTTAAAACAATTAATACCTATCTTGTAATCAACATTATTAAGGGACACTACGCTTCTAATGTGAAACAGACCTGACTATGTGTAAAATTGTACATTGTCATTTATGCCGCAGTATTCTTGTTCGTTGGAAATTTTTGATCCGAAACAAACTAACAAAACAAACATTATCACTTGATATTTTGATTTGATGTATAGATCCATATGCATAAGGCGCGTCTGTATGAACACAATAATCTCAAAGGTACCAAACTGTTTTTTTATGTTTTTCAGTAAGACATAATATAGGTAGTAGAGGGCACAAAGCGCCAAAGAGCCAACATTTAGATGGAAGCTAGTGGATTATAATTATTTTATCTCATGCAACAGTTTATCCTTGCAATCTTGCAATGCCAACATTACCCTTCCAGTCGTATTTATCCATTCCGAATCGCAGCCTGTCGAGGTTAAATAAATTGAATTTTCTTTTGTCAATATTATGTTCTATTGTCTTATTAATAAACGTTACAAGATCATCCCTGGCCTGAGTATCGGCAAAAGTCTTAGCGGGAGATTAATAACAGTTCACCAAACTTGAGAGCAAAATTCAATAATACAATGCAAAGTTTTTGACGTAAATTACTTTTAAGTTTATTTCATTTAGTTTTGGTAAATAAATGAGTTATTTTTGGATATTTTTTGTTGCTAATTATGTGTGTTATTAATAGGCTTTATTAAGTGGCATACATAAAATAATGTTCGCCGATGTAACAGATAGTTTCCTCACACAGTTCACAAATTATTATCCGCCAATAGACCTCAGTTCTGCACCAGAACTGCATATAATTGTGACAGCTTTGGGGAGACTGAGAGACTAATTTAACATTTTAATCAAATTTTTAATAGTTTGGCGTACATGCTGTAACTAGATAAATTATGTGAGGATGGTGGGGCGCCAGATTACCAGATTATCATCCCCATCTCTAACAGAAGAATAGTTACGAAATTTTCTAAAAATATTTGTTATTCCCAAAGAGATGATAGACATTAGCAGTATGCTTGTAAATTTCTCATTATCTCACCAGAACTAGTCTCCCGTTGATAAAAGCTGTTTAAATATACTACTTACTCTATTATTTTTCACCTTACAAAGCGTTGTACTTTGCAATCCACATTCCAACCTTTTTCCTTTATTTTAAAACGACGCATAACTATAAAATTTACACAACCGCTTATTGTACTGAATGTAATTTTATTATCTGTTAAATGAAAAATATTAAACGCGAGCTGTGCAATATGACTAAAGACGAATTTTATTACAATATTATTGGATTACGAGCAAGTATGATAACGCGAACATAGGGTTTTGAGAAGAGGAGGTCAACTTTTATTTCTTCTTTGAGGATCTATTTTAGAAAAGTTTTTTTCAAAGAAATTTAGCAATGCTTTTTCACAAAGACCTATTATTACTTAGTTAAAAGGTTATGAAACCTACCTAGTTATTAAATTGAATTAATAATATAATAAAATAATAAATAATAATAATTATTAATATTAATTAATAATTGAATAATATACTAAATATTAAATATTATTAAATTATTAACGCTAAATATTTATTATTAATTATTTAATATTTTAAAAAAATAAAGAAAGCCAAAGAAGTATAACTTCTTACGCGCATACATAAGTACATGCACCATTTTTTTTACATATTAATCAAGAAACATAAATTTCCTAAGTGTTATTTAGGCATAACTAAATTTTAAAGTCTTTGAGCATGTCTACGATGTGCTTCTGTGGTAAGCTTCTTTTCATATAGAGATTTATATAAGACATGAAATATATTTTTTCAAATCCATAACCGACATTAAGAATAATATTAGATTAAAGTTTCTAAAATACAATTCGATTCAGAAAGAAATGTATAAGTTGTGTGTTTAAATTTTCTAACCATTGCGACATTCTATAATATTCAATAACAAGGTTATATTGACATGTGCTGATCTAACCTTCGTATTTGAATAATCTTTGTAAAGTACATGAATAATAAATATAATTAAATTATAATATGATATTATATTTTATTTTTTATTATTAAAGTTAAAATCTTTTCAGTGATGTATGCCGTCAACGCCAAAGAAGTTTTACTTCAATCGCGCGTAAAGGTTACACGCACACACTTTTTTTCCTATAATGGTGAAGAAATAAAATTTTGTCACACAAACGGTATATATCTGAGGCCAGGTGGCAATGGAAGTTTCTTATTTTATGATAACTCTATTAGTACTCACTCAGTCTGGAAAGTTTGTAGACATCAGCTGTATTCATGATGGCAATGTAGATTCGAAATTCTACTGGTGCCTTCATCTCCTTGTTCATCGTTATTGCAGTTTTTAATGCTTCCTGCTCTTCATTGGAGTCCATGTCGAAGATAAATCCTGTAGTAAAATTGATATTTTTGAAAACTGAAAGTTAATGAAAACTATGACTAAATTAAGAATATTATTAAGGGGCAAAGGTTTTAATAGCAGCTTAATCGCTAAATTGAGATACTAATTTCGTTTGAGAAAAGAGCCAGCTATGTGGTACAGTCGACCAGGCGTAGGTCCTTAAGAACTACAAACTGAAATCTCATTGTCCAAGATTTCTGATGGGATATAATCAAAAGAGGTGATCAACAGGTAGATACCTCTTGTATTATAGCCACTTATTTACGTTATTTGTAATAAATAATATTTTTTGAAGGACTGATGCGTTTATTACTTATAAGGTTAAATAAATAAACGGAGAACCGACTATACACGTGATATATAGCTATAGACTCAAGAACACGAAGCGACACGACAGGAGAATTTCATTTAAGAAAAATCTCATGAGAGATGTTTTTAGTAGTAAGTTGAAGCCCAGGAACAATACTAAGCGTGAGAGTTTAGTAAAATGCTTTACACAAGAAAGGTTTATTTATTTATTATTTATTTATTTATAAAAGCTTGCTCGCCTACGCTCGGCACACTGATACATTGATAAAGGAAAAATAAAATACAATTTTTTAAAGTGTCAAGCACTTACAGGCAAACTGTAAGGCATAGCATATAAGAAATAATAAATTTAGTTAAGCAAAACAATAATATAATTTAAATAAACATTAAACGAAAATCGTTCTTAAAGTGTGAGGGGAACAACTATGGATATCCAGATCCAGCTCGTTTAACAGAATGCTCAATCTGGACATCGGTGAATTTTGGCCAAAACGCGTTCTCCGGAAAGGAGCTAAAAGGTTGATAACAATCAATAAAACATGTAGCGAAATGAGGCCCTTTAAATCAGTGTATCAAAACGTGGGGCCCATTCCCCACAGGGAGCAATTTAATTGTTAAGCGAGCCCCCCTTAAAAATTCAATTGCCCCCCTGTCCGAAAATTTCTTAAAGTTATTTGGAATTTAAATTTCTGATTTTTTTATATGTTTTGAAAAATTACTTACTGTGTCCTATTAACCCATCATTTAACAAGAGAGTGAGTAAGTGTTTCTTAAGGGAAAACATTTTTTTTATATTAAAAATTATGTATAGGGGGTGGGAATAAGAATTTTCGAAAGGCTAAGGTGGTGGCACAAAGAGGTTGGGTAACACTGCTTTAGATAGGTACTATGTCACTGGATCATCAAACATCAAGCCACGGTGAATATTGAGATCGTTATTTTTCTTATAAGACGGGCAAACGGGCGCTTAGATTTTGGAGGCTGAAAGTGCATCGCCGGCTACCTACGTATTTCTACGCATATCTCGTAAATAATTAATTACGTTTAAAACTCGTTAATTAAATTATAATCCCCTTTTAGTGAACTGTATTATATTTGTTAAATCTATCCCGGACATATAGTCGTAAGTTATTAGTAATCCAATTTTCCATTAATTCCACACAAACTACAGTAATGAGTGAAATTGGAATGGAGCATCATTATTGTAATAATCTGTTTAAAAGCAGTATTTGTTAATGTACGCTGCCTAAACAAATATATTTTTGCTTCGTGTAAAATTTATATGTGTTTAATGTATATTGACCTACAGGTCAAACTTAGCGCTAAGTCAGGAGTTTCAATTATACTCACTATAATTATTTCACTGTTGGGTAAATATGATCCCTTTCAGATAATAAATTCCTTAAAACCTTATAATTATCCATTGTAAGAAAACAAGTGATAACATTGACGTCATCGCTAATCCTGAACATACCCAAATCCCTTTGGGTTTCCCAACAACAAAGATTGCTCTATTTTCGCTTAGATCCTACGAGACACATTAAGGGAGGGAACAAAGCCTTGGGCCAGATCCATACAAAGGGGCACCCGGTGACATCCGACCATGTTAATGTTTTTTAGATTTTTGTTGTTTATCATAATAAAGGAAATCGATATTCATAGTAGTGGGGCCTGAAGAGGTGTTTTAATAACTCTACCTATCGTTTGCACGTTATTAATCTAAGTTTAGGGTTATTTGAGTCATTATTTAGATTGATATATAAATAGACGAAATATTTGGCTACACATAAATATATATAGAAGACAGAAACGTGTTATAAAATTTATTTACCAATGTGTGCCCTCGATATCATACGCATTTTTCGTATCCGTATCGTAGAACTACGATATAATATTGTACACGAATTTAATAATCCTCCATCTGAGATAGTAATCTTAATCGTTGTAACAAGTGTTCCAATAACCAATCGACGGATTGTAATAGCCATCTGTCGATACAAGCTATCCATGCGAGGTCGTATCGGTGTCTGTGGATAGACCTTTTTATGAAAATGACAGTTGACGAAAGGTCGATTACAACAGTTAAGTATTTTAACAGATATTAAGCTAAACCAGTTTCTTTAAATAAATAAAAAACTGTTTGTTATGTTTTAAACATACACATGTATTTTTTAATGTTATTTGTACGGTTTTATTTACTTTATTTGATTTACATTGATTATCAAAATATATGAGTGAAAACTCGGTAAAATGGAACGACAAAGAGCATTTTATCCGACGCCAAAAATTGTCTTCGTAGGGTTTGGTTATTGGGATGCAGATAAGAGATCGATCGACTGTCATGGTCTGATTGTGGATTGATTATTGGGTTCGGGCGTAAGTCCCCATCAGCTCCTGAACAATGTTTTAATAAAAAATATATAAGAATTGACTAATTGATATTATGACTCATAATATAATGTATAACTTGTATGTAAAATTCCTTTTAAGACAAATTTGCACGCCATTATGTGTGGCAGAATATGCGAACTTTCGATTGTACCACCATAACATTTATGCACAAATAGGTTGCAAATAAATGATTATTATTATTATTGACACATTAAAATTCTACTCGATACTTATATAAAACATATTAGTATTATAACAGAAGACAACTCATATCATAAAGTTCTTTGATCCCGCTAGGATCAAAGGAGGAAAATTAAGATCATTTTTGTACGAGTGGCGTTGAATATGACACATTAGAGACAAGATTTTCGGTTGTTATAGGGTGTTATTGAAAAATAGGATTTATACGTAGGCGGAAATAGGTCAAAGCCAAAGTAGTTTTTGCCCTTCAAGATGTTTTTTTTATTATGAAACGTCTTTTTCGGAGCTTCCGTGTAAATTGATTCAAATGTGCTTTCGGAGAAATACTATTTTTTGTTTCAAAATGAAAACATTGTTTTATATTATCATGTTTTATATTAAATTTTTACCAAGCATAACAATTTTATTGAATTCCACCTGAAACTCCTTTTCGGAATCAACAGTTTTATCAATCTGATATAGTCACGCAATTTTTATTATTAAAAGTTTCTTAAATATGCATTTTATCAAGAATTTTTACAGTAGTTCGTCAAAAGTTACCGATCACTTAAGCCACCATACTCAAAGTATACATAATAAATGGTCCGCGGAGGCAAAGTGCATAGTAAACCTCTATTCATAATACTGTTAAACACATTATATATAATTTGTACACAATAGATAATATCAATAATAATTAGTTAATAACACTATGCCAATATTGGGAACAAATTGGCATCAGTATTTGATTATTGGATATGCTCATGACGCAGCTATTAGTTTTCCCTTAGTATGTAATAATTGTGGGATATTTATTGTACCATATTTATCACGGTTAACTATTTCATATCGATTATATATCAACTTCAAAATGTAATAGATAAATAAAGCAAATACCATACATAATTGTTGGTCATATTTGAACCAACAACAGAGCTTGTGATGCGGCTGAAAAAGCTAAAGCATACAGGGGTCTAGGCTCCGAATATGATTTTGTGTCGGGTGTCCTTCCGTGTCGAGACCCTTGGTCCGTGGGGTCCTAGCACTATAAGGCTTTTTAAGGAAATAGCAAAAAGGTTAGTCGACATCACAGGAGACCGAAGAGTTGGCAGCTGCCTCGGACTTAGGTTAGCTATTCAAAGGGGGAACGCTGCCAGTATCTTCGGAACCTTGCCTAAAGGGTCACTATAATGATATATTTTAGTTATTATATTTTATGGTTAGTTATTGTTCTCAATAAGATAATCACAAAAGCTCAGCAGCGGTTGTCAGATGTCCTTCATTGATTTGACGTATGACACTTGACATTGCCATATGAAAATCTCATTTATTTATTTCTGATGAATATTTTTTTTTTACCGACAAACTGAATACAGCGTTTACGCACATCAATAAATCGGTATGTTTTATTTAAACCTATTGGGAAACAAGATGGTAAGTGTAATATTTGTTGAATTATGGTTATTTTTTAATGGACTTTTAAGATGAATGGTACATCACTTATTGTATTAATGGTATAAAGCAGCCACTTAGCAAATGTGTTAGTGAATTAGCACACAATACGATTTTAGCGAGGAATTTTTAATTTTTTTGACAATTCAGTTCAAGTTCAGTTGTTAAAAACGAAATTTATCTATTCACTAACGATAGAGCTTTACAATTTGGTAACAAAATGTTTTGAATTTGACTGAAGCAGATATTTTCTAGTTTACTTTACATTCTACTCTTTCTATTTTGAGACTGACACTCCATAAAATCGTTTTCTAAAAATGTTTTCCTACACCATACCGTAAGTGTTAATTGTGCGCTTGATTTAAAGGCACATCTGATTTTAAGTGATACCGCCGCCCAAGGATTATACTGCCGGAGGTTCCACGTGCGTAAGAATATCACAGGCTCCAACTGTTTTACGTAAAGAACGTGTAGATCGTAAATTTAATTATTGAAGGCAGCATTGATTATCATCGTACACTGTCATGATCCAATTTGTGTTGGAACAGGTTTAATAATAGATTTCAAGTCCTAATTGAAACGCATATCGGGGAGTAGTACACAGGCATATCCGCTTGCACTATAGTCCTTTGTCAACACGGC